CATCATCAATGATCAAAATGAATTGAAACAAAGAATAAAAAATTTCAACAGTAATTTGGTACTTACTTATCGAATTATTTGTTTACAATTAATAATCATTAGTACTAATAATTATTGTTATTATTATTTCCATTAAAATTATTATTGTAATAATAGCTTATCATGATTATTATTATAATCATTATTATATTTTAATGTTGAATGGCACTATCATTCATAAAATTTAATTCATCTTTGTTTCAGTTTTGCTTCGTCATGTTTCCAGGAAATCATTTTTTATCATTTATTTTTAATCTCTTGTAATAATTGATATATCTTTTTTTGTATAAGCCATTTTCAGCATTTTATATATTTCATCATTTTTCAAAAAAATATTAAAATTAAATCAAATTAATTCAAAGTCAAATTAGTTAATTGTGTAATCAGAAATATTCACTTTTCGCTTATATTTTTCATATATTTCGATGACCTGAAATACGACGATGGTACCATTTTTCTCTCTTACAATTCCTTTTCTTATTAACGATTATGCAATAAATTAATTGTAGTACCATTGGGTTCACTCATTCAATTCCATTTTTTTTATAGGTTCATTTCTTTTTCTGTTTTTTCCCACTTAATTACTTGGTACCATTATTTGGTACCATTACTTTTTAGAGTTATATTACTTCAATTATGATAGGTAATAATAATAATACCAATGTTCAATGCTTTATTATTACTATGACGTCAACAGACAAATTATTCAATTTGTATGCTTAAATTAGTAAAATTTGTAATACAACATTTAATGAGTTTATTGCATCATCTAAGAAATATTTATAGAAATCTTAGAGATATTAAATTAATAATGAAAAACACTACGTATACTTTTATTATTATTATTATTATTACTATTATTGTTATTACTATTATTATTATTATTACTATTATTGTTATTGTTATTGTTATTATTACTATTATTATCAGTATTTATTATTATTGTTATCACTGTTATTATTATTGTTACTATTATCTATTATTATTATTATCACTCGAGTTGTTAAGACAATAGTAATAGCAATAATAGCAACAATATATGTTGTATTTAACTATTAAAAAATTGAAATAAACGAATTCATCTTAATGTTAACATAATGTATTATTATTGTTATCATTTAATAAAAATTATTGTATTCTAAATATTTGCTTTGGAAAATGAAACAACAGTAAATAATAATAATGATAATAATAATAATAATAATAATAATAATAATAATAATAATGATAATAAATGGAATAAGGTAAATTTCAAAGAAGTAATTCCAGTCGGTATGAAATCAAAATTCACTCTATCATTTGGTAAAGGATTAACTGTCATCAAATCAACTAACTAATTCATCTCACGATGACATATTAATTGATCCAATAGCGCCTTAGTATTAGAGCGAATGTTAAATTATAATGAAAGTGTGGAAAGAGCTGAAGGAGAAAAGGATCAGTAACACGAAAATGATTAATCCATTTTGTGGATGGCGTCATCAAAGCGCTATTGGAAGTATTGTTAAGAAGAATAGAAAAGATGCCGCATGGCTTACTGTTGGAAGTCATGCTGTGATTGCTTGATTAAAATAAACATTTATTACAGATTATATATGCAAAAATAAATATGCTCTCATTGTTATTGCCACTGTTAATCTTAGCTTTCAATGTTAATCATTCCAGAAATATTGGTTTAAAAATATTATTTTATGAAGTATAAATTTTAAGTTATTATTTTATTAATATAATAATAATAATAACAATAATAATAATAATAATAATAATAATAATAATAATAATAATAATAAAGTTCACAAAAAATCTTGATTGTTTTTATAAACAGACAACAATATGAAGTAATGTGAAATTTATAAGAGCAAGGAAAATTATTCATATTTTGCTAAATGTATTTGATTAAAACAAACGATGAAAAGTTTCGTTGACATTAATTTGCGCTGTCAACAACTTCAATATTGCAAAATGTATCTTCCAAGAAAGAAAAGAGGTCAATAATTTTGTTGGTTAAATTAGAAATTTTTATAATTCTAAATTAAGAAAAAAAATGTTACCGTAATATAAATGCAAATTTCATTCAGAAAATTATTAGCAAAAATTTGATTAATCTTTTCTATACCATTTTTTCCTTAATTCATTTCGTGTAACTCCAAGTGGGAAAAAGTTGTTTCATATTAAAGTACTGTAAATTAATTAATAAAAGGAACGTTAATTATTCTTAGACAAATCATCTGATAATCAATTGATATCATGTTTGCCTAATATTCTATTGTATTTAACTTATATAAACTTCATTAAATTCTCCATCTTTTGAAGTAACATTTTTGCTATTATTTTTATCCATTTCTACAGGTGAAAAAAAAAGGTATAAATAATTAATTTATTCAAATGAGATATGATACTCAGAAAAACCTTCAATTCAAAAGCGAAAGTCATTTATCAAATGATAGTTGCCACTGTTGATTTATCATCCATTATACTTGTATTGGTTTAATTTAAAGAAAAACGGTGGAAAACCGGAAGTTGATGCAAAAATTTGCTTTATCGAAATTTACGGAAATTTTGCTACGTTTGCGACGAATTTCAATTAGCAAATTATTTAAGCAATTAGTTTTCATTTTAATTTCAGCAAAAATATACCAGGTAGAATTTCACTTAGCAATTTATTGCTACTTCAATATAGTTTTAGTATCGTCTAAATTTTAATTTGCTGCCCTTTAAAATATTATAGAATTCAAACAAGTCAAACCCAATTCAAACATTCAAGCAGAAAGCATTCATCCCTATTAACAGCAACAATTAACAGTTTTTAATCTTTCAATTTGTCGTAAAGTTTACTTAAATTTACAGAAAGTTTCAAAATTTAAATGATTAGTGAAGTGAGATATGTGGAAGTACGGCTGATCGTAATGCTTCAGTTTGATATGTTGTAGTAAACAGCTAAAAAACATATTTTAGTAGAATCGATAATTCCTATCTCTCATAATTTACAAATCGGAAGACGATTACCCTGAACTCATTTTTGTAACATTAATCGTAATTCTTTCTCTCAAATGAAAATTTTTTCATCTTTGATACGATCTTTCATGCTAATTGAAATCTACCTGTATAACATTACCTTATTCATAACTTACAAATCAGATTACCTTAATTCATTTTGTTTCTTTTTTTCCTTCTTGTGGTATTTTGTTTTTGTTGGAATTTCTTTCCTTGGAGGAAAACATATTTGTTTATTTATTGTAAAACTTGAAAAAGAAAAACGTTAAAGAGAAATGGATCAGCGTTAGACTCTGTTAAGACAGTGAATGATGATGTTAAGAAAACACCAAAACAACTATATTGTACTTCTTTCCCTTCTAACCCGCAAGGAATTTTAATTTATTGTATAAAAAGAGAAAAACGAGATTTTCCGAATTGCTTTTGAAATAGCTCTTATGTAAGATGCAAGCAGAAACGAGAATCTATGACAGTTAACAAATATTCGATAATTGACATCGCTTCCAATTTCTACATTTTGTTAACTTCTGAAGAATTTTTCCCTTCTGATTTCGTCTTACTTGAAAGCTATTATAAATGTGAAATTAAAATGCATTCGCCGTTCTGCATCAAAATTAGGAAGTTATTGTTTAAGAGTAAAGTAATCTTCAACATCATCCATTTCCTAAATTAGAATTTAATAACTCATGTTAGTCATTTTCCTGTTGCCTTACGAAAGTCAATGCTACATAGCCGTAACATCAAACCTTGCACGGCTAAATGTTTCCAACGAGCCATCCTTTCTTTTATTCGTTGCTTTGGTGCATTCATATATTATGCAACTAATAAAAAACAGAAATGAAAGTTTATTTGGAGCAATTTGTAAATAAATATGAAAAACACTTGATTATTATTTCACTTTTTGCTGAATTTGTTGTTGTATTTGCTGCAATTGTTTCTCATCCTGCTGTGATATTGACGTTAACCGTTTTCCAAGTTTTTCGTGTACATCCAAATATTTAGCAACGCAACGATCCAAGCAAACTGCTTCACCCTTTGTTAATTCCCCTTCTCTGGAAATCAGCAAAAAACCTTCTAAAAACTGCTAAAATTTGGAAAATCGAAACATTATCATTTGAAATTCTGGTAATTCTCACTCACTGCCAATTACCATGCATCCCGTCATATCAAAATTTTACCATCCTATGATAAAAAGTTTCGCTTTGAATAAATTCAAACTTAAAAAAAGCTTCAAACTAAGTTTAAATTAAAAATGGAATTTCTTGAAATAAACTAAAGATGTCACTAAATTATCGAGCTATTAAATTACTGGAGCAATATGAATAAGGATAACCGTCAGTACAACTTTTAAACATGAAAAGTAAAACACTATAGCATATAAATAATAGCATGTTTTACTTGTAACGAGTTGAAATACATTTCTGCTGACATGCTGTCGTCATCCGTCGATACATATCAGATATCATTTCCATCTCCAAATCAGCTACCATTTGTAGTTGTGTTTGTGACATTTTCTCAAATCTCAGAACGGAATAATTCTAACACTGAAAAAAACTGAAATGACATTCTGAAAGCTTATGAGAATCGGCAAATTTTCCCAACACAGTTTTGTATTTGAAAATTATTTGTATTATAAAGCCTTAAAGGAGAAATGAAAATTGAAAATCCGCAATGAGATATATATTTTTTGAAAAATTCAATTCCATATCTTGATATAAGTGTTCTTGAACTAAATATCTTTCTGTGGATAATACCGTGAAAAAGGGATTAACACAAACTATACCAAAAATTGTATAAACATTTGCATAACATACCCGTACAAAAATAAATAACAAATAATAAAGTGTATCACAAAAAAAGAGATTAGACGTCAAACACAAGTAAAACTGGTAAAATCTCACTCTCTTAAACTTGAGACAAAAATTTACTGTGAAAGTCGAAGCTTCAGAAGAATACAGAGGAAGAAACTATGGTGAACAATCGAAACAAGTATAGAGCGAAACATATGTATCGTTCGAGAATCGTACTGGTGTCGCTTTTGGCCCATAGAAATTGATCCGATAAGCGGAACCATCAGCTGGTCCTAGCAATTGCAACGCAATTAATACGATATCCACAATGTACAATAATGTGAAGCAACCAAATGAGAACATCTTTAGAAATCCTGAAAGAAACGATGAATTTAACACTCAATAACTCGGTTCATCTTTTAAATTATTAAAAAAAAAAACCATGTAATCATATTATGGTATTTACATAATAGTTTATATGTAATTTATTTTGGCTTACTAGTTGAAAGCTAACATTAGTCACAAATCTGCTATGTGAAACAAAAAACCTCCATATTCATTCCTTCTTGATGTCAAACAAAACAAATTTTGAAAAACTTCGTAAATACGCACTTTTTTGGTTTAAATAATTAAAACTTATTCTTGAAACAGCTTGTATCATTTTCCAAGCATTCTTTTGCATTTGCAGATACTTATCAAATAAAGTTATAATTACTATATTGAATCATGAACTGCCTTTGTTATTTCATTACTAACCACTTCTATTTATACTTACATTAGCAAATAACTAATAAATTCAAGAGGAAAAATTTTCAAACCAAACCTATAGCATAATATCCAAGATAAATTCGATCGATACCTAACCAACCAAAAAATACTGATAACAGCAACGCAGTACTGTGCTCAACGTCAGCTGAATAGGCGCATCCATTTTGCACACGTTTCAGAAATCTGAAGTATAAGGAAGTTGAAAACCAAGCATTTTATAGACTCTTGATCAAAAAAATTATTTTGAATTGCATCTTTAAAATATATGTAAAAAGACTGAAAAACATACTTTCTCGTGCCGTTATCCAGTCCTATACAATCAATTTCATTTGCCACTTCACAAACAACTGAAAATTGATAATATATGATTTTGAAATAAACTGCTGCCAAATATTCGAGTTTGCTAAAAACCTCTATGCCTACTCCAGAACTCAAACTTAACTTTTTATATTCTTATTTATGAGGTAACAAAAAATGAAATATGGGTGTAAGTTTTGGATTTAGCTAGTCCACAAGTATTATATATTGCGCTTCAAGCAGTTACATATTAGGTGAATTCAAGCTACAACTTCTCGTAAATTTATGCCGTATCGACTTCGGATGAATAAGTTCATGCTATTGAATAAGTATTTTAAAAAAAACTACACACTAACCTGTAATTGAATTATCCTTCTCACAGGTTTCAGGAAGCTGAGTAATCGGTGAAATTTCGGGCTCTTCGCACCAATATCTGTATTGGAAATAATTTGAACTAATAACGAGACAGTCTAGTTATGCATGCACATATTCCCCAGTAATTAAGATAAAAAATGCTAACAAGTAAATGAAACAGAAACACATGTACTATTTAATGCATGCTAGTATTTCCAGTAATTTCCACCTTGGATAGCAAAATGATTGGTAGAAAAAAAGCAAGTCTTTGAAAGACAATTTTCTTGGAAAGGCTATTTGACTTTTTAAACAGGCGGTTTTAAAAAAAAAAATTTTGGATTTAATATCAATTATCAAATATGAATCGAAAACTTACTGCCCCATTAACAGTTCTGAACAAGGCTTTAATGTTATTCTAGCTGTGACATATGTTGAAACTGGAAACAATAATAATATTACGAAGATGAAATCACTGGTAAACATTTGGCTTTATGCAGCAATTATCAAATGAACTTCCGAAATGCAGTCATCGATTAGAAATCTGAAATGAATATCTGGAAAGCGTATCCTTACCAAATTACGCTGAGAACATGACATCTCTATGAATATATCACACCTTATCAAATATAACTTTGATCGGAAGCGAAGAAATTATCTGCTTAAAAAACGGTTCGAAAAACGAAACATCAACATGGAGAGAAGAATACACACCATTACAAATAAAGCTTGATTTATGATAACCATTTTCCCGTGGTAACAAACGATAGGCAACCGTTCTGCCCATGCATCAATAATATCAGATGATACAGAGCATTACTGTAATAACTACTAATGTTACCAAATAATATTTGCGTTTTTGTAACCATTTGCTAATGGTACCCCATAAGACGTGAATTTTATAACCATCAACTAATGGTTTCGTAAGATGTGGATTTTTATAACCAACTGACAGTGGTACCAAATAAGATACGGATTTTTATACCTACTAATGGTATAAAATGAGGTGTGAATTCTCGGAAGTATATTGAGGAATCTTCCATTTAATCTAAGAACGACAAAATCAACGATATATGCACATTGCGGATTAAGAATTTATAGAGAACAACAGTTCTCAATGTCGATAATAATTGATAGTTAGGAAAGAACATATGAAATAGTTAGGAATTGGCTATATTAGGAACTTGCACAAAAGAGATATACGAAGCAAGAAGACGATAGAGATTAAGAAGAAGTGAGAGATGGTATAGTACAATACGACGAAACAATCAGAACATACAACACCACGGATCATTAAAGCAAGGCTCCTGTATGTTGCACAATTTTGATTATTTTCCGCATACTTCTGGAAGGACAACGTGAAAATTCCTGTCCCATGGCATATCTCTACTAGACACTGTGTAAGTTGAAATTTTAGCTATTAGAAATATCCGTTTGTACTTTTTCTTTTATTTTCTCAATACTTATTCATACTTATTCTAATACTAATATCAACGCTAATACTAATGCTAATACTAATGCTAACACCAATACTTGTTCACTAATACCTCAATACTTACTATTCATCAATTTTTCATTTGTTCCATTTTTCGATTAATTATTTCTGTCTTTTTTTTTATCTCCATAATTTCCATAAATTGTAATATATTTCTTTCTTCTCTTTTTCTTTCACATTTTCAAAAATTTAATTTTTATAATACAATGGAAATTTTCATAAAATGACGATTAATTTCACTATGAATAGTATGAAATATGAAATGCTACAAAAGAAAAATTTCATTAATTATATTTTCATTATTTAATTCATTTTGATTTCTTATTGTTTTCAACAAATTAAGCAATCAATTTTATACGTTCATTTTTCATTCAAATAAATTATTGCTATTTTTCCTGTTTAATCGATGGTATTATTTCGGTTGGAAGGCTATTTTTCCTGTTTGATCGATGTTATTATTTCGGTTGGAAGTAAATTTGTTCCTATAAAAAAATATACCTGTATTTTTTCTTGCCCTTTTTTATCCTTTCCTTCAAGAAAAATACGGTAATTTAAAATTGACAGGAAAAAAAATGTTAGTAATTAGTTTATTATATAATTAACTAATAAATTTTTAAGACAATAAAAGAATGTTTAAATTTTCATAATTATTTTTTCTCATTAAATTAAATCTTAAAATAGGGGAGCAAAACCTGGATTAGGACTTTTAGGAGCAGCATTTGATCGATTTTGTTTTTCAAGTTCGGCAAGTTTTTCAGCACTCAATTTTTGCACATCTAATTTTGGTTTTAATGTTACGAATGAAATTTTCAAATCATTTGTAACACGCATAATTGAACCACAATTACCATCGCTACCACAATAATTTGGTGCGGAAAAAACGGTACAAAGTTTGCTATCACAATCAATTTGATGACCATTTCTAACAACTTCATGCGCTCGTACTATCATATCAACATTCAATGCCTTAATAGTAATAGTAATTATAATAACAATAAGAATTTTATTATTAATCAAATATTTTGTTAAGCGAAAAATTTCCTTATTTAATTAATATTATTAATTAAATAATTAATTCGTTGACAAATGTATTTATTTAGCAAATAAAATGATTGTGAGAAAATTTGTTTTCTGTTTTATATTTATTTATATTTAAAAAGAGAAAGAGAATGAAAAGAAAAACGATATACTTCAACACATTGTTTAATCATATCATGTCCAAACATCCATGAAGCATTACGAATTTTATTCGGTGTAAAACCTTTAGCACATGGATCATTATCCGGATCAGACCACATTAAATCAAGTGCTAAGCCGGAATCACAATCTGCTTGACTTCTTGGTTTCTTAGAATTTTTTCTTTTAATTAATTAAATTACAATTATAGCTAAATTTATTAAATAATATTATTATTGATGGTTTTTTTTTCCTTAATATTTACTAACTTTCAAAATTCATAATTGACAGTTTTAAAAAAAGAAAAAGGTAAGGATGAAATAATAATATTACCTTTAAATTCTTTAATGAATGCCATCCATGTATTAAAGGACTTATACCGCCATGCATACAAACCAATCGATTGCTTACCTAAATTATTATTTCACGAATAATTCTAAATCAATCTCATCTTCCCACGAGATAACTCTTAATTATTCCATCGGATAATCTTAAATCACTATACCATATAACAATAAATCATAATTCATTCTTATCATAATCCTGAAATTATTAAGGAAGAAAAAGATAAAATTAATTTCCAAAATTTTTACTCATTTATTTCGGCAACAAAAAGTAATAATTTTAGGATTAAATATGATAGGATGGTGAAGCAAAATATAAATAACGATTGGAGATATTTTCAATATTTGTTATATTCATGATTAGGTTCAAAGGTTAAACGAGTTATAAAATATGCTATACGAACATTTGCACATAATGGTAATTCATTGAAAGCTTTCTGAAATATCTTCCAAAGTAATGTTGTTCGTAAACGTTTACATTCCTGATAGAATCCGTAAGTTCGATTCATTTTTGTACATTCATGATTACCACGTAAAAGATTGATCTTATCCGGATATTTCACTTTGAAACAAAATAATAACATTATAACCTAAAATCTTCTCATGTCTTAATTAGTGAAAATTTTAATGACAAATTTTTCGAATATTCGGAAGAAAAAGGACGAAAGAGAAACCTCAAGTCCTTTTCTACAACGATCAACATAATCACCCAAAAATAGGAAATTTTGTTCCGGTGGTATACCAACAATTTTTAAATAACGCATTAAATCACCAAATTGTCCATGAATATCACCAAAAATAATAATCGGTGCAGAAATATGAATTAAACAACCAACCGGTTGTAACATTTTATAAACCTAAAAAGTGAAATTACGAATTTCTTTTTTGCACAATTAAAAATTTCAACCTTATTGTTTTATAAAAATAATAAGATATTTTCTTTAACAAAATATTCAAAATTATTGACAAATGTTTTTTAACAAAATATTTAAAATTATTGACAGCAAAATTTCTTTCATTTATTCTTTCAAATTTATTGTTGATTTGTTGTTATCATTAACAAACAAACAAACAAACACACACACACACACTTACAGCATTGATAATTGCAATTAATTGGCTATCCGAAAAACCATCCAAAAATTCATCGGTCATTAAACGATGAATCATTCGATCCGCTAATACTGTTAGCTGCTCATTCATCCTTTTTTAATTATATCTTAAATTAATTCCCTCAATTTTATTAATATTTCATTCTTTTCAATTTATACATTATTATTATTATTATTAATTACTATTAAAAACAAAAAGAAAAGCTTAACAATAAGTTGAGTGATAACAAGATATTTAATCAGAATATCATCAGAATATCAGAATGATTTTCAACTGCAACAGTCAAACTTTTCATATGTTAATAAAATAAGTAAAATATTTTCTCACAATATTATTCTGAAATTTTATCATAACAAATTCTTTAATAGTTTATTTATTCTCATCTAAAGATATTTCAAATGTATTTTTTTTAATTGTAAAATTATAATTAAAAATTTTTTACTTACCTTTCGATTAAAACAGAGTGAAATGATAATTGCAACCACTCAATATTAGAATTAAAATTATCAATGATAAATTATGAATTGAAATTATGCTTTATATTAAAACATAAATTTCATCTCCTTATGATTTATCCATCAAAATTATACATATGTAAATAATTTCGAAAGCCATTCTATTCTATCACTCTGATAAATATTCTTTTTCTACGTATATGAAAATATTTGAAATTTCAAAAAACAAAAGAGATAATTTGTGAATTATTTTAAAATATTTAGTTTATAATTATTTTCTCTCTCTTTCAAGAAATATTATGATAATAATAACAATAATAATCATGATAATGCTGATGTTATTAACAATAACAACATTAGTGTTAATATTAGTGATAGTATTATTTTACGATAATATTAGTGATAACAGTGATAACCAATCAGAAATATTGATGATAATTTTCATCCCAATTATAACTTTCACCTATTAATCTATTCATATTTTATATCAAGTCTAACACTTCCATTGATTATTCATACTTTGAATTGATTTCAAACTTACATTATAATAGTTTGTTTATTTGTCGAAATGTTAATTACAAAATAAGAAATTCTTTTATTCTTTTCAATTATGCAAATTCATTTTAAAAATATAAACATATAAAAATGTAATTTACAATTAACATTAATTAATAAAGTAAAATTGAAAAAAAAAGAAAGGTATAAATGCAAACTATCCCATAAACTATCAAAATGTATAGAATTTCTCATTTAAAAAATGATTATAAATAATAAATTTCATACTTTCAATAAAATTTAAAATTAAAAAAACTTTATAACTTAATTCGACATTTACATTCATTTTCTCTCTCTCTCCCTCTCTTTGTCTGTATCTCTGTCTCTGTCTCTTCTTCTTAAGATTTGTTATGATTTGTGATGATACATTCATAATAAAGCAGTTAATTTTCATCGAACTTGTTGTTGCCTATACATCGTATCATAAGCTCGTGGATCACGCTGATCGGAATAATAAATTTGATCTCTTCTCATTTGTGGTGAATAGGCGTAATTTGACGGTAACGTTGGATAAACGGTTCGTCCATCATACTTGAAATAATAATTTAATAGAATAAATATATGAGAATCGGAAGAAATAAATTACAAACTTTGAAAAATTCAAATATTTTAATTCATTTTACAAGATTTGAAAAAAATTAATTAATTAATTAGAAATATTTGAAATTTTTATTTAATAGAAAATTTAATTAATTTTAATTAATATTTGAAAATTTTAATTAATGATATTAATAATTATTAGTTGAAAAATAAATGAAATTTAAAGATATTTCAATAAATGAATCATCCAATTATTTCATATTGTATTTATAAGTTAATAAATATGAAATATTCAAAATTACCTGCTTATCACCGTCAATAATATTACCAACATTCCGATTATGCATACGTTGAAATTTTGCTATCATTATCATAACTAATGATATCTGAAATTCAAAATTTCTACAGTTCATATTCCCATACCGTAAAGTTCATACTCCCATATAATCATTATCATCATGATCTTCATGATATACCTAACATCAATAATTCTGTTTATCCTCTGTTATTATCATTTGCCAATGATAAATTATTAAATCGTAAAACAAAAGAATGTTGTACCATATATGAGAAGTAATTTTCTTACTCCTTCTTGTATTATTTAGCTAATTAAAATTTATCAATAATTAACAATGATTAAATTTAATTGTAACTTATTAAATTACCGAAATCAATAATCCTGTTTTCTTTCCGAAATTCTATTTTCCGATATTTTTAAATTTTCAAAAATATATGAAAATTTCTTTTTTTCTTTTTTTGCTATTCGTTCTATCATCTTCTCTTTTTTTCTTTTCTTACTTCATTTTACATTTCTTTCTTCGTTTCCTTTTTTTTTCATTTTTTTCTCTTCCCCTTTAATAATATAAATTTATAATTTTTCATATCAATAAAAAATAGCACACACATTCATAGACTTTGATGAAATTAAAGGAAATTGTGCAAATTTCAATTAATACATTTACGTTGAACGATTTATTGTATTGATGGTGGATAAAGAGAGAGAGAGAGAGAGAGAGAAAGAGAGAGAGAGAGAAAAAAAAGGGTTAATATTATTCGATAATTAATGGATAAAATCTTGGAAGGAATTATTTGGTTGATTGATAAACAAGTTCTCATGAAAATATTAAATTGTTCACAATTTATTTCAAACTTTCATTTTATCCTTCTCAATAATTAATTCCTTTCCCACTTCCTGCCACCCTTCCACCATCTGTCACAATTATTCTTACAACTTCTTTTCCTTCTTTTTTTTTCTCTCTCTCTCTCTCTCTCTCTCTCTCTTTGATTTTACATTTCGTTTTTACGACGAATAAAATCAAATTAATTTTTTCAACGGAATAGTATCATTTCGTTGATTCCTTCTTTTTTTTTTTTACAAATAATAAAATTACAACATTTTAATTAATAATTTTAAATGGAAAAAAGACTTGTAATGAAATAAAATGGAATAAATAATTAATTTGTTAGTAATTGTAATTAATTAAATACATAAATAAATAATATATGAAATATAAAATAATTGAATACAAGAATTATTTGTATTCATATTCATACATATATGAGCAACAGATAATTAAGTATTGAATAGCAGATATTATTAAATATTGAATAACAGATAATTAAGTATTGAATATGAATGAATACGAATGATTCAATGAAGCAAAAAAAAATACATAAATAATATGCAAAATGTATGAATAAACAAATAATTAGACTACTAGGTAATTAACAATATAAATGATCAAATGCATAAACAAACGGTAAATTAATTCAAAAAGAAAAAAGTGCAAAATGCAAATTGGTAATGAATAAAAACGGTAATGGTAATAAAAATGAATTAATTAATTAGATAATTTCAATATAGTAATTATAGTGATTAGTAGGAAAAAAAAAGAGAAATAATTAAAATGATATATAATACCATAAATATTTATAATAATTAATTTAATTTAATTAATCATATTCATATACCATATATCATTTTATCACTAATTGATTAGTAATAGAAATCAAACAATTTACTTACATGAAAGAATTGCAATCCAAGGAAAAATATTCCAGTTGCAATGCGTACTAAATTCCACTGCAAATAATTAGAATTACAGTAAACGATAATTAAAATATGCTAATTTCTTATAATTAAAAAAAAAAAGAATTGGAAAATATATTTAAACAGAAAAGTTGAAAAATTAAAACTATAGTTATTTTGTTTCAATCCATTTGATGAGTCAGAAGGATGACGAATTAAAAAATTGATTCAATATTTCATAGTTTCAATAAATTAAGTCAAAAAGAAATTAAGACGATGACTGGGCCTAAATTATTACAACTCTTTTATGTTACGATCAAATTTGAGATGATGAAGATCGTTGATACGATATGATCGCAAAGGTCATCATTATCATCCCAAATTATTATCATCCCAAATTAAATCCATCTACAGGAAAATAAATATAATGAAAAGATTAGCATAAAACTTACGTGAGAAAAGAAGAAGATGAAAAAAACAGTAATTAATCCCCTGATAATATCAAGGATCATCAAAAAAATCCATGGTAATAATAACCATTCCACATATGATGCTAAACCAATTAGCAATAGTATACTGGCAATTATAATTAATACATATAATATGATATCAATTACAAGTATTGATCTTCTCCCTAAAATAATCATTAATATTTTAATCAATCTTATCTAATTAAAATAATTTAAATTAATTCTTTTAATTAAAATCATATTTAATTATCAGTATCATTCTTTAGAATATTTATTTATCATATGCATACTGCTAAAGTATATAATAATTTGTAAATAGCATTAGTAATTTATCGAAAACAATACACCACTCCAATTTTTCATCGTTTACTAATTAAATAATTAAAATAATTTATTCAAATTTAATTTTTTTTTGAACAAATTTTTAACTCAATTCTCGACAAAATTAGAATCTGTTATTTTAATTTCCAATTAACTTTTTTTTTTGAAATAAATTCTTAACTTAATTTTTGATACAAACAACAACAACAACAACAACAAAAGAAAACAAACAGGTATAAGGAAAGATTAATTCTTCGGTATAAAGACCAAATGAGCAATGATATGAGCTGGAATCTTCGATGATAACTGTTGTTGTGCCTTGTTGAAATGTTAGCTTATGATTATCTAAAATTAATTTCATTAAATAAGTTTTTTTAATTAAAAAAATAGGAAAAAAATTATTGCTTAAATTCCAAATAATTTTGCAATAAATTGAGAAACAAAAAAAAATTAAGTAATTAAAATCTTAATTATATGAAATAATTTTGATATTAAAAATAATAATTAATCAATAAATATATTTGAATATATTTATTTTATATAAATAATATTCAAATATTTTATTGTATTTTTCATTATTAATTATTATAAACTTGTTGCTTAATTATTATTAAAATAGTATTATTTCTCATTTAAACTTTCCTAATTAATATTATCGTTAGTTTACATATAAATATTATTAATTCATTCCTACAGATAATATTTGAAAATGATAAACTATTAATTTAATCATTGTTATCTTATTCTAATGATTAATATTATTCATTATGATAAAAAGAATAATTGCTAATTATATCGTTTACCTGGTCGTACTTCACCCAAAGCTTCCAATTTGCAATTTGTATAATGTGATGAATCACCATTAGCTGATGTATCTGATAAACCCCAACTAGCCAATCCAGTTAGTAATGAATATAGGAACTGAAATTTTGTTTTTTAAAATTTAAGTAATTTCAAAAGTTCATTTTTTTTAAGATGAAAAATTATGCGTAATTATTTAGTGAAAGAGAATGAAGGAATAAAGATGTTGCCTACGTTGCATAATGATAAAAACAAATGATAATGATAAATAATGATAAAAAAGATTTGAACAAATTATTAATGCTTACTAACAATAGTGATAAAAAATGATAATAATTAAAATAATTATCGAATTTTATTTTCTTGCTGAAATTGTAATTATGATAGTAATTACTAAAATAGTAATTATGAAAATATTGTATTTATTTAGCATAAATTTAAAAAGCAAAAAATTGATTAAAATAAAAGTAATTATAATTAAAACAATAACAACAACAACAATGAATAGAATTTAAATACCCAAAAGAATATTATTAAATTCTATGTATTACCTAATTATTTAATTATTTACTTAAACAAGATAATTGATTTAATTATATGAATAATTTCAACACAAATAATTTATCCTTTTAATAATCCTTTGAATTAATTAATTTTTAATCATTTAATTATTTAAATATTTTAATTATTCATTATTTCATTCTATTTCTTTTTTTTCTTCATTTTAAAAATTGAATTAAATTTTTTTATTGTCAAATTTTTGAAGTGAAGAAAAGGTCAATTAAATATGAATAAAATGAAACAATTCTTCTTTTTCCATATTTCGAACAAAAATTATTCGTTAAAAAAAATGGTACCATTCAGTCGTTAAAGAAAATGGTACCATTCAGTCGTTAAAGAAAATGGTACCATTCAGTCATTAAAGAAAATGGTACCATTCAGTTCAGCTTTTCTTCTTTCTATAAAAAATATTAATTCATTTATTCTTTCTTACCAATTTTGTCATTTCACAAAAGAACGAAAAGAATTGCAATGATGCATGCATACTGAATTTCGGAGAGTAATAATAATTTTGAAATATTTCAAATTTTTAAATTAAAACAAAAAATCATTCTTATCTTTTTTTATCATTTCATTTTTCAATGATATATTATTTGTTAATTAATTAAATGCTCGAAAATTGAATGAAATATGCTTAGAAAAAATGATAACAATGATGAATAATGATGATAAAAACAAGAATAATGATAAAAAAGATTTGGACAAATTGTTAAATGCTACTTATAATAGTGATAAAAAGTGATGATAATTAAAATAGTTATCAAATTTTATTTTCTTCCTAAAATAGTAATTATGATGATAGGAGCAAAGAAAAGTGATAATAGAAATATTATCATTTGATGTTATCGATTAATAAATAAATTGATAAGAGATATATGTAACATACAAAAATATAAAGCAATTAGTAAATTAGAAATTGATTTTAACAGGAGAAAAAATTCCTACCGTATTTTCCTCATTTTTTACTCCTTCGATATTCTATGAAATATATACAATATTCATCAAAGAAAATCGGAAATCAATTAAATAAATTTATCTAAGTTATAATTTTATAAATTAATTAAGTATATAATTATATCATTTATTTATTTGAATTAATTTTATTGAATTAATTGTGAAAAACAAAAGGAAAAAACAATGATTTGTGAATTATTGATAATAATTTTATTGATAATAATTTGATAATAATCTCACAATCATTGGAAGAACTGCAAAATTTTACTAATAAATTAATTTCAAAACTATTAGAAATTATTATTTTATTCATTCTATTTAACTAGACCTTAATTAATTGATAATAATAAATTAATTAGTATTATTCCTTTAGAAAATTAGCAACGAATTAAATGATAATTTATTTTATCAATAAGAATATGTATTATGAGAAACTTACAAGCAATTCCAATATTCGATTAAAATATTAAGTAATATAATTCAATTTAATTTCACTTTTTATTTTTACCAATAATTAAATTCGAAAACAATAGAAATTTTAATAATAAATGAAATTGATATAAAAATCGTTATTAATTTATCATAATTTAATGACAACATTGTCACATTGAATTAATTATATTACTAAAATTTGAAAAGTAAAAGTGAAGTATTGGAATTGTAATTCAGAGATTTGTTGCAAAATGAAAAATATATTTGAAATGAAATTTTAATTGGAAATTAATAATTTTGCTCATTTTAACATTTCGCTGATGAAAAGTATCGAAATGAGTGAAAAGAAATTAAATTGAAATTAAATTAAAATTCGAATTAGTCTTTTCTTTCTCTTTTCCTAAGACATTTATTTATTTCTTTTATTTTATCAATTAAAAAATGTGTGATAAAATTGCACAAATTGATTTGTCATAAATTTTACTGTTCCTTAAAAAGAAGAGAAATTATATTTAATTTTTCCTAAAAAAAATGAATCACCATTATGATTATGATTATGATTATGTATTCTTGATTTTAACAGAAATGTAAAATTGCACAAATTGATTTATCATTTAATTTTCCTAAAAAATGAATCATCATTATGATTATAATTATGATTATGATTACGTATTCTTGATGCTAACAGAAATGTAAAATTGCACAAATTGATTTATCATTTAATTTTCCTAAAAAATGAATCATCATTATGATTATGATTATGATTACGTATTCTTGATGCTAACAGAAATGTAAAAATGAATGATTTGGAATTAATGAGCCGAATCAAATAGATAAAATTTTATTTCAAAAATATTCATTCCACTTTAAAATCAATTTCATTCTCTCCTTCTCTCTTACTAATATTTACACTACGAATAATTATAGGATAGCAAAAAATAGGTTTATCATAAAATTCAGTAATCAAAAGAGAAATGGATTGAAATTATATTTGATTGTTAATTTCGTTGGAAAACCTGAATAGGACAATACTCATCAAAAGTTACAACTGATAATTTCAATTTTTAATATTTTCTTTAATGCTCCTTCTTTCTTGTTAATTGTTGAAAAATTATTCTCAAATGGTACTTTGAGAGAAATTTGATGATATAAATAATTTGAGAAAATGAAGAAATTTCATTTTTGTATTTTATAGTTTATAAATTTTTGATATAAATTATTATTTGAAAGTTTCATTTATATTTTTGTTAAATTTAGTAATTTTTTAATTTAATTATTCAATATTTTTTTTTCATTGTTCTTGTTATTGTTTATTGTTTTATTATTTATTTTCTAAATTATAAACAATCAAAAATTATTTTACAAAAATTAAAATAAATAAAATTTGGAATTAATTAATTTATTGAATTTTTGTTTTCAAAAAAAGGGCATAAAAAAAAAGACGTATCAAATAATTTAACAGAAAATTAGTGAAAAATTAAATGAAACTTATGACATATTTTAATTAAGGTTAATGACCTCTCTCTCTCTCTCTCTCTCTCTCTCCAATAACAGGTGAGAGATGTGGGCAAAAGAGAAATAAGAAAGGGTTAAAGTTACGAAATATTCACATTAATCACCTAAATTTCCATTTGATAAAACCGTTCTCAAACAATTTACTAAACTAAATATTATTATTCTTACTATTATTATTACTATTATTATTATTATTGTTATTATTAATATTATTATTATTATAACTATTATACATATTAATTTCATTTATACCTTTGCTTCCTTTTTTTTATTATAATTATATAACAAAAATTGTCCACAGGATTTAAAAAAAAAGAATTAAGTTCTAATTATAATTATTAATTATAATTAAATTATAATTATTCGATTATAAAAGTGAATAAATTTGAATAATTAACGATTTCAAATTACTTTTTCTATTTGTTTCGTTTATAATTCAAATTAAATTCAAAGAAAGAAAGTTTAACATTTGAATAAGAAAATATCGATCGAGAAAGTTTGAAGGCGATAGGATATCATTTAGATATATTGAAGTGATGATTTCGACAATTTTATTATTAAATTAATTAAATTACCTATTAATTAATATTAGATTAATTAAAAATTACCTATTATTAAATTATCTACTAAGCTCATTAATTATACCCTCAACAAGCTAATCACATATCATAGCAATCAATAAACCAAAAACATTAATACACTTATAATTATTTCATTCCTACTACAATTTCTTCCAAAATTCCTCTACTTCTACAACAATTTCGTTTTAAGTTAGTTACTCTCCCCTCACTCCTCCCCCCCAAAAAAAACCCCCGCTGCGTAAAATAATATTCCCCGGGTGTATTATCCGGAAAGAATTTCATTTTAGACCCTTCTCATCTCCAAAAAAAAAAACCCCCCGCTGCATAAAATAATATTCCCTAATATTCCCCGGGTGTATTATCCGGTAAGAATTTCATCGTAGATTTTTATTTAAGAGTATAAAGAAAAAACTTACCAATGTATAAAATGCAATAAGGACGGTAGCCAATGATAAACCACAGCAAAAGCAATTTCTAATTTGTACCTCAATTTTCGCCATCCAATTTCACTCCTAATTAAGTATTGCTCATTAATATTACAGGTATCAATTTAAAACAATTAAATTTCATACCGTAATTTTTTCATTTTTGTTTTTGTTTTTTGTTAAGATGAAAAAGAAAAAAAGGGAAAGAAATTAATTTTTTTTCTTTTCTTCTTTTCTTTTTTATCACTCTCTTTCTTTTCTGTTTTCTTAATTCGTGAAAAAGAAAAGAAATGGACAAAACTATCAAAACGAAAATATTTGCAATAAATTTTCATCTTAACTGAAAAAAATTCTAATATAAAAATGATAATGATAATGATAATGATAATGATAATGATAACGATGATGACAACATTTCTAATCGTAATAAGGATTAATAGAAGAGAATGAATGAATGGGAGGAAGAGGAAAAAGGAGAAGAAGGAAGAAGAGGAAAAAAGGAGAAGGAAAAGGTGAATGAATGGAATAAATGCGGAACAAATTTTAAAAAACCGGTAGATTTTCGACTGATTGATATTACAGCAGTAGTAGTAACATTGAATGCATCCACACTGTTTTCCATTTTAAACGACATTTTTGACATTATCAGAATAGCTTGACAATCACGTCAACGATAAACAGTGACGCAAAACGTAACCCAAAACTCATCATCGTCAACTACTTCTCAACCACTCTCAATGAGTCAATAAGTTTCAAGGACAAATATACACCACATATATATATATATACACCCTACACAGACACACACACACACACACACACACACACATATGTGTATACATGTATATGCACAACTTCACAGTTATGTTAATAATCATATATATTCGTTATTGTTATAACAATACATACAGAGAACTCATTCACCCACACACGTGCACGCACATGCACACACACACACACACACATATATATACAGATGTACATTCTTGATGACAGTTGCAGACGGACAAAAATAGCGGAATTTAAAAAAGTCATATTTCGACATATTAATTGAAATTAATGTATAAATGTAGAAATATCCATAATTTTAAAATTCGTAATTCATATGAATGTATAATTATTGCAATAGTAGTAAGGTAATATGAATGATAGATGGAAATGATAGATATGACAGTAGTGATATGATATCACAGGTGAAATATAATTTATGATACGTAAGCTAAGGCAATCAACATCTAATTAATATAAGAGATGAAAAACCAATGATGAACGGATAATCTCATTGATTTATCATCAATTTAATTTAGACTAGAATATTAATAATGAAGTTTTAATTAATTCATTTGATTAAATTAATCGTAATGCTTGCTAATTAATTAAATCAAAGATTCAGAGATTGTTAATTTCAAATATTCAATTTAGTCTATTTTGATAAAAATTATTAGTATAATAATTATTATTATTAAATTGTTTATTTATTAGAGCTTTACTTATCTGTTCATTTATTCATTTCATAAATGTCTGAATTAATTTTAATTAAAAATACAAAAAGACATTTCAAATAATTTTTACTAATATTTTAATTTCGACATTTCACTTCATTTCATCCTCTCCGCTCTCATTTATCCATTTCTTATTTCATTTTAAATTATTCCTATTTTTCGATTTATTTTTCTTCGTTTTCAATCTTTCGTAATTTTTCACTTAATCTTATCATATCGTATAATATACATATATCTATATGTATCTCTACAGATATCTACATATATCGTATAATATACATATACTAAACACATATTTGATATGAATAATTCGATTACAATAGTTATAATTATCATTCAGTTAATTAGGTTAATTAATTTATTGATTAATTAGTTTAGTTAGTTTATTCTTTTAAGACAATTGAATAATGGATATTTCCAATATTATGTTTCACGTTTGCTTTTTCACATCTTTTCATGATATATATTATCGGTAACAGTATACGATAATAGTAGTAAATGTAATTTGAATTTATTTTTCATCCATTACTATATTATTGAATTAAATGAAAGTAATGAAAACAAGCAAATGACAAACAGATGGATGTGAAAAGTAAACAAATGAATGTACAAACAAAAAGTAAACAAATAAAATAATTATACTTTATTTCGCAAATAATAAAATTAATAATATATTCGAAAAACTATTACTTTATTAAAATTGCTACTTTTATATTATAACATATTAACTTATATATTAATATGATAATATCAAAGGTGAAAATTTATTTTTATAGTAATTTATATATATACATATATATTTTTTTAGCTATGATATTAATCTTTATGTGATAGTAATTTTTTTATATTCCTTACTAAATCAATAATACAGTTATAACAGTATCCTAATGTATTTATTGTAATTGCGATAGTGTTGATGATACTTTTACTACGATATTAATAGTAACTTTATTGTAGGCTATTACAATTATTAACTGCAGTGATCTTTTTATGATCATCAGTAGACATCAATTTTATCTGAAGGATTAAAAGACGTCAACTTTATCTGAAGGATTAAATTCTTTTTCCTTTTTAATTAGGAAAATTATGTGGATAAATTAATTGCAATAATTACGATAACAGGCACAATCTATTAAAACTCTGATTCACTAAGTTCGACTGCAATTCGTTAAATTCGACTTCGATCATTATTACTTCGAATTACTATAAAACATTGAGAATCAAAAGTGAAGTATACAACAAAGAAAAAGACTTCCAAAGATTGAGGTAGAAAATTGGTCATTTTCGAATTTTCCTACTTCACATTTTCCGAATTAAAGAAAAATGGAAAACCGGATCGAGGAGAATGAAATACAACACATAAGGCAAAGAAAGAGAGAAGAGGGAGGGTGAAAGAAAGAAAGAGATGAAGAAATAGTTCGAGAATATCTTGAAGGAAATATTTTACAAAGTTTTATTACCTAAAGTTTGTAGCGAAATGATAGGAATTGAAATAATAATTTTCTTAGATCTATCCCAGGAATGATGTGCGAGTAGCGTATATTCGTGGATTTCCACTTCTTCAATTACGTGTCCCATTTTGGTATGTGCTTGATCGTTTTACTAATCAAAAACTAACAAATCAATATTTCAACAATTTACATTTTTAAGAAATCAAATTATTCGGAGTTTACTAATTAGTAAAATTTAGATAATTTAAAAGTTTATTAATTGGTTAAGTTTAGGTAATTTAAAAATTATTGACATCGTATGGATAGCTAACTTGTTGCTTCCCTTCTTTTCCGTTATAGTTGAAAAGGTTGAAGTAAAGTGGAGGATGAAAGATATTTTTTGGAGAATCGAATATTAAAAGTTTTATAGAAACTTTCTAACTTTTTCCCATCTATCCTGCACGATTTTGTAAGGAAATACTACGTGATATGCTGCAATATCATATAATTATTTTGTCATTTTTGGACTTATCATTCTTGATATTGCACGTAATTTCAGGATACTATTTTAAAACAAATTGTCAAATAGGTGCCTAAACTTTCTGTCACAATGTGATTTTCATAAATTACTTTCCTTTATTACTAATCCAACTCTTATCAATCTTTTTTGACAGAAAGTTGGGGGGAGGTGGGAAAAGAACTGTTCTAATGTTTGATAGATAGTTATTAATATTTCATCATATTTTACGGCTTTTTTATCAATACCTTGTGGATAGAATTACCATTTATACTTCCATTCATTTGCTATATGATTTTTTCTTTTTTCCAATTAAATCAAATTAATTAAATATTTTTTAAATAATTCATAGCGTTTTCAGGATTGCGAGAATTTCTAATGAGTGTGAAGAAGAACGAATTCGCAACAGATTCGAAAATGAACGCAGCCGATGGCACGAACATTGACAAACAGTTAGTTAAAATTGAAATTTCAATTTGTTAATTCGTGCTAACTTTTCGCAAGTTAAAGATTATTTCATATAAATTCTTTTATTTACCGGTGATAAATGATATCGCGAAATATTGCTGTTTTGTGATTGAATATTGAATTATTTGAAACATAAAATCAAAGAAAAAAACAATAAATTATTTGCAAATATTATGGATGTTTTCATTCATTTAGCACAGAAAACAATCAAACGCTTTCATTACTATCTGATTTTCGTCGTTTTTTACCGTCGGATAAATCAGTGAAGGGTATTGTTATTGGTGGATTTACTGGTGGTATCGAAATATGTATCACATTTCCAACTGAATATGTTAAAACACAATTACAATTAGATGAGCGTTCAGCGCATCCAATTTATAAGGTTAGTTCTTTTTTGGTTATCTTATTTAGTCTAATATATTATTGTATAGCTCATCTGTTTTCCAAAACTTCACTGTAGATGTAGAAATCTTCATTGGATAAATTTCCATATAAGAAATAGATGTTACTTTGACTTTAATTGTTTCAGGGTCCAATAGATTGTGTTAAAAAAACGGTTCAAACCAACGGGTTCTTAGGATTATATCGCGGATTGTCCATATTAATCTATGGTTCTATTCCAAAATCAGCATTTAGGTATAAATTAATTTACTACTTCGATACTTAAGATGTTATAAGTGTGTTATTAGTACCAGAGAAATTATGTTGCATTTTCAGGTTTGGAACATTTGAGACTTTGAAGGAATATGCCGTTGATTCGAATGGCAATCTTACACCGATACGAAGACTTTTTTGTGGTTTTGGTGCAGGTAAAAGATTGTATGTTTTTTTATATAGATCTATAATTATTATGTTAATGTATGCGATGCTTGTTTGGATAAATATTGAGTATGGCTTAGTAAAATTTGCAGTCAATTTTCATTTTTAGCGAAATTAAAATAAATACATTTTCATAGGTCTTTCGGAAGCGATATTTGCTGTTACACCAATGGAGACGATTAAAGTGAAGTTTATTCATGATCAACAGTCTGCTAAACCAAAATTCAAAGGCTTTTTTGGTGGTCTGAGGACAATCCTGCAAACCGAAGGCTTCAGGGTTAGTAAACACTTTTTCATCATATGGTTTATAAATTGACAGATATATTATTTTTCCATCATTCCAACATAATCCTCGAAAAAAGATTGCATATGTTGCAGGGCTTGTATCAAGGTGTTACAGCTACGATGGCGAAACAAAGTTCTAACCAGGCGATTCGGTTTTTTGTAATGGAAACTTTGAAAGATTGGTAAAAATATTTATCTACATTTGTTTCAAATTTTGCGTGAATAATGAGTTATTCATATTGAATTGTTCATATTTATTGCTGTCTGACGATGACAGTAAAGAACTTGCGAACAATCAACTTATAAATCATTGACGGCAGGTATCGTGGAGGAGACAGTTCGAAGACGGTTAGTAAACCAGCTACAGCGTTATTCGGTGCATTTGCGGGTGCATGTTCTGTGTATGGTAATACGCCGATTGATGTTGTGAAAACTCGGATGCAAGGTTTGGAAGCTAAAAAATATAAGAATACAATCAACTGCGCTTACCAAATTTTGAAAACTGAAGGATTTTTCGCGTAAGTTTTAATTTAGTTCAAAAAATTTTTCTAAAATAATTTAAATCATGCCATACTGTAAAAATATGCCAGTCAAATGAGTTATCCTAATTTCGAGTGACAGGTTTTCTTAATTAGGTAGACATATAAAAGGCATTTCCAGATAGCATTAAAGTAGATCTTTTGAACCTGATCATATCTTTTTATGATAGTACTGTATTATATAAAAGATGGGAGGTGAAAAAATATCTCTGCAGAAGGCTAAATTTTAAATGCATTCATTTCAGATTTTACAAAGGCACGGTACCTAGGCTATGTCGTGTTTGTCTCGATGTCGCATTAACATTTACTCTATACGACTCGATCATGGAATATGCTAACAAATTGTGGAAAACTTAGCATGAATTTTCAACCCTTCCTTCGCATCTGCATATTATATCCTAGATCGCACATTTCATATACCATAAAGAAGTTGATGAGGTAACGGAATCCTTTAATAAAATTACGGGAGTGGATAAGAACTGACGATTTATGGCATACGAAATGGTGGTCGGCAGACTTATTTTCTTGCATGCTTTTAAGATGAACAAAATACGAGGTGGTCAGTAGACTTATTTTCTTACATGCTTTTAAGATGAACGGAGTAAGAAAATAAGTCTATCGACCACCTCGTATTTTGATTAATGAACTCCGCTGTCTCACTTCAGAAGCATAAAGGCTATCTTTACTTATTAAATAAGATGTATCTACAAAGATAAATGCTTCACTTATATACTCTTGCTCTCTTAATTGGTCCCTAAATAAAACAAATATTTGAGATAGCTTATCTGTTCCTATTTTTGCACGCATCTTGCTAGACACTGTATGGTGCGCTGTTGATACACATAGATTGTTCAATTCAAAGTTTTTTGTTCTTTCCATGCCAGTTGTAAGGCAACTTTTATATGAACTTTACATGAATAACGCCATTCCCTAACGTCAACTTGTTCCAACTTCCATTGTTATTTTGTGAAAACTTGTGAAATCTTCAACTTGGAAGATATTTAACTATAATGAAATACACATAACCAAGATCGTAATCTTTTCTTTACAACATAAAACAGGAACATTTAATACATGAAGTTTTTTTCTGCACTTATACAAATCGAAAAGATTCGTTAGATTCAAATGTTTTTTCAAAAAAAGAGATCTTAATCATGTCCTCTCTTTACATTTTAGATCTAACGAATCTTAGGGATAAAAGTTCCCCAACATATATGCTTGAAAAAAACATTTGAACTGAAAAAAAATTCAATGAAATTCATGCATATGTGTTGAAAGATGTTCGATCGCCAGTGAGATTGTGCGAGATCCAACAGTTCTCGTTGTTACTTTTCCGAACTGCTCTGCAAACCATATTGCTAGTACGTGCGGACACTGAAACAATTTTCGATGAATTACGCACGCTACTACAAGCAGACGAAATTTCTGCAAACAATTCGGCACAACAGCAATTCACACTTCTGCTTTGGTTTATAATTCTTATTTCTCATTCCACCATTATTTCTGAACTATTTCATATGATGTGTTCTTAAATGGTTTCTTTTCAGTTTTAATCTTAGCCAACCTCCGTCAGCTTAGCATTTTATTTGATCCTACGGATGGATTATAATTTCTCGTAACATTAAATTACTTCAATAAGTTAATATAATGTTGAGTAGTGAGTGACACTTTAGTTAATTTAAAATGAAAATTCAGTATAAGTTTTCCTAGTAAAAATTCGTCTATGAAATAAGTCACTAATCCATTTTGTGCAAATATTGACCATAGTATCCGGGAAGCTAACTTTCATGATTCTAGTAACAATTTTAAGTATTCCTTACAAACGAGAATAATCAACAATAAACATAACAGATTTAAACATCAGGAAATAAAAACAATAAAACAAAAAAACAATATTGAAAAAAAAATACATAAATCAATGGAAGCATTTTATAATGTTAAAGATTTATATTTTACAAGCAAAATCACACGATAAGTACTTGAATCTATGCAACAAGTAATTGCAGTTTAAGATGGTTCGTTATTCCTAGATCCGTCCCATTCGAAATATTTACACTTCTCAGGATTATCCTGACCTTTTGGACATGTCCAGAAGGCGCGACCATGATTTGGGCCCTAAAAAGTAACTCATCCCTTATACATCAATTTTATGCACTGCACTATTGAAGTAATTTTTCGACTTTATCACTCAATATTAAGGTAAGATCACCATGATTAGAAATGTCATCCCGAGATTGGAATGACTTGCTATTTCAGAATTTGATAAAAGCTGTTAATAACAGAAACTAGCTTCTTTGAAGTACTGGTCTACTCACTATGCTTTACCAAATTTCATAAAAATTTAGAAATTACCTCCTTTTTAACAATCAAACGTTTCGCAGCTTGTCCACAAGAACATTGTCGTCCCTGCACTCTAGCGCGACTTCTAGCACGACCACCACCTGCACTACTAGTTGCCCTTGTCCGACCCCGTGTTCCACTATTCGAATGCAATATAGAAAGGGCTAAATAAAGTTTTTGAATATTCCAAAGCTTCACAATTTAAGGCACGGTGTGTTTATCATAATGGGAAATATTTTGCATATATATTCTGCATAATTCTCTCGTTATTAAAAATTTCGTAATTTACCTACAACTTGGGGAATCAAATAGTTTTATACACGTATGTCATAGTGGCAAAAAAATTCATTTAAAAGTACGAGCCAAACTTCTAAATCAATTTATAAATGTCTACGACTTCAATGATGCAGCAGGAATTAAAATGAGTGTTTCTAACTGACCGGGATGAAATTTTAAACTACAAATGTTAATAATATAGAATTTCCAGAAAGTCACAAGTGAAATAAAAAAAAATACATGAAAGAAGTTCAATGTCACTAGTATTGGTTGTCGCCAATTGTTCCCTATTAGTAGCTGTTCTGGAAATCGATCGGCTGACACCACGACTTCCCGATTTGCCACTTCTACCACGTCTTGTGGAATTACTATTTCTTGGCGTTAAAGGGGCACGACCAGTTGCCACGCGCATATTATTCGGCAATTGCAGGTTATTTTTCTGCTGATTTTCAGGTATCGTTACTGTTTTAGGTAGATTTTCACGCTGATTCAAATACTGACGCAAAGCATTTGACAGCATTTGCACTTTATCTTCTGCTTGTTCAAATATTGCCCGATATCTTTCGATCTGTTCCTTTAGCACGTCTTCCTTATTCCTGAAAGGTTCTCCCTACAAATCTTTTGGATATTAAGCTTGAAATTTTAAAACAAAAGAGAGGATACACAATAACATCTTTCTTTATTTTGATTTAATCAAAATCTTCCATTATTACTAAATTTGAAATCAAAAAGTAAAAGATATATGGCGGCTCCAATCAGTAGACTAATCTTAGCAATAATCTTCAAATAAATCTCCTGAAAACTACACAAAAAAAAGAAATTTAACCTTTGTCCAAGACAAATAAGTTTCAGTTGCGACTCCAGATCAGCACGCATATGAGGTTTGCTCATAGCATAACCCATCCGATCGTATCCATCGATAAGTGCTAATCCAATATAGCCCGGAACGAACCGTCCATCATCATTCAATGCGGCATACTGACGTGTTTTAATTGTTTCAATATGTTCTGCATGCGTTGCATCCGTCCCAATACCGTATTTGTCCATCAACGCAATCAAATCAGCTGCAATGAGAAATACTCGACTGATGAAGAATCATTTTTAAGACTTTTCTCTTTTTGTAAAAGTTATGGTTTGTGAAAATTCAAAATTATTCTGATATATAGTACGTTAAATCCAAATCTCAAATTTCGTTTGCTAATTTTTTCTAATTTCTCTGAGAACAAACGAAGGGAATACATCGAGAACATATATAATAGTACCTTCATTAAGCAACTGAGGTGGCTGCGTTTGCCCCTCTGTTATTTGCAACTGATAGCTGGTGATTAATTCATTTTCGTGATAAGAAGGCAGAATTTTATCACTCCATTTGTCATACTTATAAACGTTTAGATAGCCATAATCTTCAATTACAAGCCCTGACGCAGTAAAGTTTTCGTTGCCCACACGAACCTAAATTGGAGGAAAAACTTAAGATATTCAAAAGTATCATAATATAAAATTGACTCTCCACAGAACAATCACAATCAATTTACCTGAACTTTAGTCTCTTGTCCCTTTGCATCAACAGAAAGGCAAGCAAGAAAATATCGCACGATGAATTCGTACAACGACCATTCCAGTCCGATCAATTCATTTGCTGTAGCGAATTTTAATGGATGAATCGGAGGATGTGCATCATCAGTTTTTGAACCATTTCTCGGATTCGGACCACGTGCAGCAACCTACAAAAAAAGTCAACTTTTCAATTAGAGCCAGAATTAGGAAAGGATGCTCAAGAAGTGGCTATAAGCGTAATAATGTAGTGATGTCAATGAACCAGAATACAAATTAGAATCATCTCTACGTATGTCGTGTTATCAGTATACCAATGAAGAAGATTAACCTTGAAGGGCATAGATTTACCGTACATTTTCTTTAAACTTTCTTGGAACATAAATTACGACTTCTGAATCATCTAACAATTTGGAACTAACCTCTTGCGCAAAGTCTCCCCATTCTCCGCTTACCGTTTGTTGTTGTACGTATATGTTCAAATCCATATCTTTCGGAAACTTATTTGTTTCTGTACGTGGATATGATATATAACCTGTAAAAGAAAATTCTACAGATAAAAAAAGTGCAAAGCAGCACTTCAGAAAATTAAGGTAATCATCACAAGAAAAAAGTTTTAGAGGATAGAGAATTTGACACCTTTATTATATAATCGTTCCGCCACAACCATTGTCTCTTTGGCGCTAAATTTTAACTTTCGAACAGCTAATTTTTCAAGTTCAACAGTGTCAAGTGCAACAGGCCTCCATTTATTCTTCGGTTTCTTTATTACAGATAAAACTCGCGCTTCTCTTGCTTCCTCACAATCATCTAAGAGCACCTAAACATCATACATCATTGAGCTATATAAATAAATTTTAACTCTTATACTTCAAAAAAAGTCAAAATTGTAATTTGAAGACGAGATTAATCACTGGAAATAAAATTCATTTCCCATTACTCACATCAATTGCAAAACACTGAAATTTTTCCACTTACCTGGACAACGTCACGATCAAAAAGCCTTTGACGATCCCAAACAAATTCAACTATAATGTCTTCTCGCTCATGCTTCATAGAAATCTTCCAAAATGTTTCCGAAATGAATTCTTTGATGGTTTGGTAACGCTCCGCAATGAATCCTAACGTTGGAAATTGACATGAGCCATAACTGACGACACTCTTATCACGAAATATATTAGCGAAATTATTCCTAGAATTCATCAAAATTGTGGTATTTACAGTCACTATAAATGGATAAAGCAGCATCAAATGCAACTGAAAAAAAAAAAAAAACCTTAAATGAAGTGTCTGTAGCCGCGTAAATGCTGCACCAATTCGTAAATCCAATTCTGAACTGAAATGATTCAGAACGTATTTATAAATTCAGCGAGTAAAATGGAATCAGTAGTACATGGAGAAATTTTGAAACAAATTAAAAACAACGAACCGACATTCAACAGCATCCACTAACCGCTGGTCCAACCTAACCAAATTATTCAGTGCACGATTAATAGCTGTATTTGTAATTTCGGAAAATCGAGCTCGATAGACATCCAAGTTACGGTTAACCTGAGCACATACAGATACCACTTCGGCTCCAATAGCTTCACCTTCTCGATCACAATCGGTCCATATGACGAGCAACTGTAATGATAAAAGAAATCAGCAAAATATTTTGAAATTTAGGTTAACAGATAAGTACCTTTACATTTTCAGGTGTTCGACTTTTTAATTTGAAGACTATTGTTTTCTCCATTGGTCTCCAAAATCTTCACCAAATCCGAAAACGAACGATCACCAGTCAAACAAATATTTCAGGCAAAATTAGAATTAAAAACCAGCTTTAACAAACAAAAAGAATTCATCAGAGTAAATAATTATTTATAGAAACATATTAAAAACTTACATCAGATTTCTGCACCTCGGCGATTAATGTAGTCCTGATATCTTCCATTCCCGGAATTGTATTTTTCTGTATATTTACATCGAATAACATCTTGATTGGAGTCTCAATCCAATTTTTGAAAGCTGCTGGGAATTCATGCTGAAGCAAATGGCCAGAAACACTTGTCATTGCAACATGACAACCTGCGTTTTCTGAATTGATTTTTATATTTTAAATAAATTTGATATTTGCTTTTTTGATTTTGTTCATTTATTTCCTCAAAAAACTTTGAAAGACATACGTTTTTAGTATAATTATCTTTTTTGTATCCATATACTTCAATTTATTTATAAAACTCAGGGAATCAAAAAATGACCTAAACATTAAATTTGAAATGTAACACTCTGCAGCCATATGTTAAAATCAAAATAATCAAGTTTATCCAATTTATATTTTTAAGAAAATATTACATCATCAAACATGGAATACATTAATAATACGATATAACATAAGCAGCGGCGGCCATAAATTGATTATAAAACAATAAAATATAACTTACGTCCAACATTCGCAGTAAACTGATAAATTTTATTGAAACGACTACGACCATCACGTCGTGTAGAGGTACCACGTGATAATATTGCTGCAATGCTCTTAGCTGCATCATTTTTTTCGGCTACAAATAAAGCACGCATAGGTGTATTCAAACTAAAATGAAAAAAATTAATGCAAATATTTAATGCCGCTATATTTATACTAGGCCTCCCAATGATGTCCAAAACTTGACAAATAATATTAAAGCTATCGAAAAAAATCTTCAGGGTACCCTGGATGTACAATCTCGCGTTCCTAGAAGATCCTCTTACTTTTTACAAACTACCATACCTCATATTTTAAGTTCGAAAGCTTAAAACCTAGAAGTTTGAAACCTATTTTTTTGAATCACTGATATGTCTGCATGATTAGTATGGATGAATATCAGTTTTTTAAAAAAATGTTCATAATGTCCAATTTCAAACCGCTCTATGTTTACCAAAATTCATTCGAATGATTAGTTACTGATAACTGGAATAGCATATTGAATTTTTTTCGTATATATTATCATTAAAACGGTCGTAATTTTCACTTTCTTAAAAAATAAAAACAAAAATTATTATATCTCCAATGGAGATATAATTGATGATGAGAAATGAAAACAAAAATTGGAAATTAAAATAAAAAACCGGAACAAAACTACAGCAGACACAACCAATAATATGACAACATTTTTTATTTGTTGAAAACAACTGCTTAAGTATCAAAAAAACTGAAATACATAAGAGAATGATTAATTAACAAAACCAATCATTAACTTTCATACTTGACATGATGTATGTATACAATAATCATTTATACATAACGAAATGATGAAATAATATGATGGAATACAAATAATTATTTTCTACAATCTAGGAAAGTGTAACTTTTAATAGTGCCTTGCTAGATTTTGTTTTCATCTACTTAATAATAAATCGCGCAATCTAAATAAATTTTCATAAAATAAATTAGGCTTAAAACTAATTTAACGCAAAACTTACCGTAAATGATCGCTGCCGTTTGATAACTGAAAAAAAACTATTACAAGAAGAATATTATAATTTGCAGTAATAGTATCTCAAATGGTAAAATCTTGCGATATTTATGGTCGCGCATGTATGCCAACGTATGCTAATGCAAAGAAATTGCTCTGCTAGGAACAATTTTTTATAAATCATTGAACTTTTTAAAGCATTATTCCAAGTAGAATTAGTCATTTGAGTGAATCCAAATTTGATGGTAATGTGCTGAAACTATGCAATAGAATGCCTAGTTTGTATTTATCTACAAAAATTCATCAATTTCTTTTAACTCAGTTTATCTTCAAAAAAATCGTGACCGATTCTAATATAATACATAATAAGTTTCGCTGTTTTTGGATAGGTAAGCATCTGGTAGTAACATACCTCCTTGAAGAAAGTATGAACACTGGCAATAATTAACCATTGGAAGACAGGTATATGTACACTGGGAATATGTACCGGACACCTAAATACAAAAAGCGTGATTTGCCAAAATTATGGTTAAGATGTGACTTACCGGTTATTACTGCTCTCACGTTCACGAATTTATCCAATTAATGTTTTTATTTGGAAAATAGGAGCTCATAAGTTCAACTTCTATGTTGAGCGGCTAAAATAAAGTAACTTTTTACCTTCTCACTATTCCCCTAACTTACTTCATATATATTTCGACCATGGACGGCATCTTTGAGTAGGTAAACATTGCCGTTATCTGCTAGAGATACGGCTTCTAATACAATACTTCCGAAACAACGGCAAATACTGCAAACAAAAAAAAGAGGCGAGATATTGTACTGCAAAGATTCAATTGTCTTCTTCCGAACTACGGCTGCATGTTTTTTAAATTTGTTTTAATATAAACAAGTAAGTTCATTTTTCATATCATGGAGTCGAAAAGTTATTCTGGTTATGACTTAATTAATTCAAGCACATTAATGGAATAAAAATCCAACTTACGGTTCTAAAACATCCAATAAAGACTTTGCGTTTGTGGGATCATTGTGATATTCTATAGATTCTTTCGCAATACACGAAGACAATTCGCGCATTATCAGTCGAATTCGTGATGCTTGCAATAACCGATCTATTTTGTTGTCTAACTTACTCAAATCTCCCATGCCAAATGATCTTCAAACAAATAAGTTACTCTAAATTTTTGAAACAGAGGTTGACAGAAAGATAAAATTTTATAAAATTTCTATAATCTATAATTTCTGTCAACTGTATATGTATTTGTACAAAAACAAAAGACATTGCCTGCATTAAACTCAATACAATAACATAGAATGAAAAAATTGAAGAATCAATTAATAATATCGAAATCGAAATATATGACACCATAAGTTCTGTTGCAAAATAGTAAATTATTGTTGGGCTTCAACTTTTTAGGCAAATAAAGTTGGAATTTATGAAATATGTTTTATTGGCATGAACGAATGTATAAATATGTATAAATTGAGCATAAGTGTATAAAACTTGACTGAGCAATTTCAGAATTTATATATCTACAAAGTAAGCAAAGGAAGGACAGGCATGTCAACTGATTGTCTATTATCATCGCTGCCTTCCATTTCATCATTTGCCTTCTCCTTCACCTGTAACAATATTGATAACAACAACGATCACAAGTATCGCTAATCTAATCCTCTCAGGCCACATTTTATTCAAAATCAGCATTTTCAACCTCCAGATTACTTTTTCACTTTTGAAAAAATATTTTATTGACATATCCCTTCCATTCTTCATAAGTACTGATAAAAACAACTTCAGTTATTTCATTCATTTTAGAAAAGAGATGAAGAATCATGTGTTCAAAATATTCGAAAGTAGAAACTAACCACATCCGTATTTTCCATCTCTGCCTGAGAGATAACATAATGATGGTCTATTTTTTCATTCTCCTCAACGGTATCCATTTCAATATCATCAATGATAACGCTATACTCATCTCTCCTATATCGTGATCTTCGTTCTCGTGGTCCTTAATGAAAGTTTTCAAAGATATTCCAAGAGAAATTACCTTATCAATCCTCATTAATTTTGTAACCTTATTCAGACTATATCAGACAAGAACATAAATATTCTCTGCTTTATTTTTCGCATTGAGTTTGATTTCTTGCTCTTATATCATTCATGATAGGTGATATGCAAAGTTCTGGTAAAGCTAAAGAATTCTGAAGTGATATTTTCTTCCACTTCTGTCAGAAGTTGAAGAGACGAATTTTTTCTTCCCAAAAGTTACATGTATACCTCGTCTTTCTCCTTCTCTAACATGATTGTTGATGATATGACGATCAAGGTTACGTTTAGTGATGCAGCAGTACGGACATTTTGGACATGAATAAGGCTTTTCACCTGTGTGCGCTCTGAAAAGAAAATCAATAATGAAGTTTACAGCTCAATGATAAGTAGACATTTTCATATATATTTAGTTTCATAGAAAAATCTCCATAATTTTTTCAGATTTAAGGGGTGCTCGAAGATTTTCTTACCTGATATGAACTTTCAATGCAGATGTTGTTCGGAATCGCTTTTGGCAATATGTACAAGTAAAAGGCAATTCACCAGTATGTATCCGATAATGGGTACCAAAATTATGCCTATAAAGTACCAGACCACATGTAGGACATTCCATTTTCGGCCGGTAAGTATCACCATCGTTAGCAATTGCTAGTGCTCCAATTACTTTCCCTTTGGAATTGGTTCCATTAGAACTGTGTGCACCTAAATTGAAACTCAGTTTCGGTAACTTGCCACTCAGAAATCAAAAGTCATTCTCCCATTATACAATCAAATCTATTTGAAAACTGAAAGCGAGGAGAAGTGAGATGTAGTAGGGGC